ATGTTTTGTACCCTTCCCCAGATCTGTGCCTTGATACAAGCCTGTCTCGGAGGTCTATGGACAATTCCTTGGACTTCATGGCTTGGTTTGTGCTTTGACATGCACTGTTAACTGTGGGACCTTACATAGACAGATTTATGCCTTTCCTAATCATGTCCAATCAACTGAATTTCCCACAGGTGGACTCCAATCAAGTTGTGGAAACATCTCAAGGATGATCAGCGGGAACAAGATGCACCAGAGCTCAATTTTGAGTGTCATGGCAAAGGTTGTGAACACTTATGTACATGTGGGTTATTTTCGTTTTTTATTTTTAATAAATTGCAATGATTTCATAATGAACTTCTTCCATGTTGTCATTATGGGGTATTGTTTGTAGAATGTTAAGGAAAAAAAAATGAATTGAATCCATTTTGGAAAAAGGCTGTAACATAACAAAATGTGGCAAAAGTTAACCCTTTCCAGACGGATACGTCAATTACTTTGTTTCTCATCTGTTCTTGAATTTCTTTAAATTGCAACATGTGTTTCCTTTTGAGATCTTTTAGCATGCCTCATTTTGTCAGACAGCTTCTATTTAAGGGATTTCCTGATTCAACAGGTCTGTCAGTAATCCAAAGAAAAAACTGATCACCTGCCCAGGTCTATAACTGGCTTTTTAAACAGTGAACATGGGGGGCTGTCACTACGTGAGAAAATTTCCAAAAAAGTAGAACTATCCAGTTCAACTTGCCAGCCTACCCCAATCTAATATCGGCTTTTATTGGCAAGGAACAAGGATATGTATATCTTATCAACAAAGGGGGATAAGAAAAGCCAGTTCAAACTGTCAGCCAGTTAGCCAACTATCAAAAACCAAATTAACCTGTCTGGAAACATGCGTTTAAAAACAGGGGTTTAGTTAGCACACATTTGCAAATACATACGTAAGCCACAGAGCCGCGTCACGGCACCCTGAGTATCTGTGGTCCTAACTCTACAAGTCTAAAGAGGCTCCCCTCATGTTTATCTGCCCTTGTTTCTATCCATTTAAATGCATGTGCCTCCACTGTGAGGACTCTTTAGACTTGTAGAGTTAGGACCACAGATACTCAGGGTGCCGTGACGCGGCTCTGTGGCTTACGTATGTATTTGCAAATGTGTGCTAACTAAACCCCTGTTTTTAAACGCATGTTTCCAGACAGGTTAATTTGGTTTTTGATAGTTGGCTAACTGGCTGACAGTTTGAACTGGCTTTTCTTATCCCCCTTTGTTGATAAGATATACATATCCTTGTTCCTTGCCAATAAAAGCCGATATTAGATTGGGGTAGGCTGGCAAGTTGAACTGGATAGTTCTACTTTTTTGGAAACTGTCAGTAATCCAGCCTGGGTGTGGCAAGTGAAATCGAACTCTGCTTCCCCAAAAATGTACTTAAATCACAATTCATTCATGATTTAGCCGGGGGGGGGGGGGGGGGAGTGAATTCATTTTTCAGATAAAGGACAGCTTTTTTCCCTTAATAAATGAAATCATTTAACTGCCTCCCACCCACCATATAAGGAAATGACAGGTGCAAGGTGGGTTCTCTCGTTCTGGGAGGAGGTCATATGACGTCCTCCCACTCTAGGCATGCAGCGTGGCGATCAGTGGTGCGCTGTGTCCCTGGGACACAGCGAATCACCGATCAGAGGAAAGAGCCTATGACTTCGGCTCTGTCATGTGATCAGCTGTGTCCAATCACAGCTGATCGCATGTAAATAAGGAAATGCCGGTTATCTGCATTTCTCCCCTCACGAGCTGTCACACTGACAGCTCATGAGGAGAGGAGAGACGGTAATTGGCATTCCTCAGAGGGGACATCTACACAGATCATCAAGGCACTGATGATCAGTGCCATGATGTTCAGTGTAGCCCCATCAGTGCCACCTGTCATTGCCCATCAATACTACCTGTCAGTGCTCATCACATCTGAGCAGCCATTCAGTGCCGCCTATCAGTGCCATATACGAGTACTGCCTTATATATAATTTGCCATTCCCCCCCAACTAAAGTTGAGTAACCCTTTAGGATGGCACCCAAGGACATAAATGTGTCGCAACAGTGTGAACCTGGGCTAAGGTACATGACACTGGAAGGAGATTTGCTCTGCAGAATAGGTATGATACACTTAGGTACTGTGCTGTCAATTGACCTTTACTGGTGGGAGGAGAGATGCTTCTTTCACGGGGGCAATCTACTGCCACACTATAAACTATGACAGCACTAGAAGTCTAGAACTGCTGCCATTATACCACCTCCATTACAGACAAAGGAGTGGTTTCCCAGATCATGATTGTGATTTACTACCTAATACATAATGAATGTTGGCTGCCTTGACTTCCACTTCCCTTTGCATAAGTGCATTAACTACATGGAAAAAAAAAAAAAACCACTACAGAACTTGTATCTATTTACTTATTAAGAGCTTTGAACTGACTAACCTGCAGTCCTATTTAGATCTGCCAATATAAAAGCTCCATACCATTTACAGTATAATTAGGCAGAGTAAGAAGGTATCCAGGCTGTCTCCTGTACATGACAAGGCTCTAATCAGCAGCTTTGCTCTATGACTCAGATCACAAGATGCAAATGTTGAGCTGATGAAGTTTAATTAAATCAATTTCACTGTATTAAAATGGTCACCCTGGAATGAACACTCAGACAAAATGCACATCCACATGTATAGAAAGTTGCTAACCTGTTAGTTAAAATTTATTTAAAAAATGGCCAGAGTTGGGCTTTAACTTTTTGTCTTTAGTTTGATTAAACATAAATAAACCAGAATATTAGACCTTTCCAACAGACATAGAATATTGAGAAAAAAGTAATATAGATTGAAAACACTTAAGTGCTAAAATAAGTATTTTATTTTAGTATTTACATCAAGTTGAGTGTTGATTTTATATGATATAGTTGGAAAGTAGAAAAAAAAAAAAATAATCTACCCTTTCTTTCGAATACAATGCTAAGGATTACATTGTGCATTCACCTCGATCTGTTCACTTGGTCTTGCATCATATGATGGTAGCGTCCCTCCTCCTACTGAAATGGTGCTGAATAGACTGCATTCTATAGTTAGGCAGTGCCTCCTTAAGAAATGCTAAGGTGTGGCCCCGATTGTGGCTTCCTTTGTCCTTATATACTTTATTCAATATACATGATACACCCTGGCTGCACCAAGCTATGAATATTAACTATAAAACGCTGAACTAATATTGCACAGAGAAACACTCAATGGGATAAGTAATAGGTTTCTGGACGTCACTGTGATGTCTTATCTGTAATGTGCACATTGCACACAAAACTTATCCCAAGTTTATGTTTCAAGCCACTTTACTAAGAAAACCATATGACATGATAACTGGAGATAATGCATTTCTTATAGTATTTAACTTGCTAAAATTGCATTGTGGTGCCAGATACACATTTCTGTTACAATTCTTGTGAAATGCCATGACTTGAATTAGTCCTGGCAAAATGCACAGTTGATGCCCACATACACAGAAGAAACCCACCTAGGAGCCAATATGAAAAAAAAAACAAAAAAAAAAAAAAAAAAAAAAAATGTTCTGAAATACATGACTGTATATACATTTATCTTCCTTTGCCATAGCTTCTACATGTGTTATGTACATTTGAGCAACAAAGTAGCTATGTGGTAAGCACTTTAAAAGTACAGCCAAAGCTCATTTGGGGGGGGGGGGGGGGGTTTAATCAGAGCAGAGATTAAAATCAATGCTCTCTGCTCACAATGGCGGTGAGAATTCAGTGGTCACGTGATTACCGAGTTCTCATTCTTAGAGCTGGCAAAGGACAGATGCAGCATCACACCAGTGCTGCATCTATCAAGGTAAGTATGATTTGAGGAAAAAAAAAAAGCCATACTTCTCTAAATTTTAAGTTATGACCTGGGTCACTATCAGAGGCGAGATTTTTGGCTGCTGCTACCACCATCACCCAAAATCTAAAACATACCATCAGATTTTAACATGGCATATTTTCTGCGCATGTGCATGAGTCCCAAGTGTAAGGACTCATTCAGGCAGGTGTACGTATAAATAAAAAGTGCAGTGCTAAAGAACATACACCAAAAATTTCACAAATATAAAAATTATACTTGAGTGCATATAACAATAAAGAGATGAATAAAGTCTGTCACGCCCATAATAAATCCTCACAACTGGTAAGCCTTCTGTCATGTCATTCAGAAGCAAGCCCTGCCGCTCACCAGAATCTGATGATCCTCTATTATGGAGTGGTAAAAAAAAAAAAAAAAGAAAAAAAAAAAAAAGGGAAGAAGAAATGGTATAATGGAAAAAAGAATATAGTATGTAAAATGACACCGTAAAGCAAAACCATAAAGTGCACACTCACATATGAAATTGTCATTCAACCGTATACACCCTATGTAAAGTGCTGCTATGACAAAGTGCATAAAAAAAAAAAAAAAAAAAAAAAAAAAACACACATTCATGTAGGTGTTCTGCACCAAAGAAAACCCCAATGTAGCGCACTGCTCCCAACAGTACACCAGACCCTGACCAAGGAATAAAATGGTCTGAACACTCTTAAACCCAATGAATGGATCCCATGTGCCAGATGAAAGGACAGGCTCTACAGTGCAGCAAGTAATGGGAATGCCCACATGGCTGTCAAATACTGCGTTCATGCAACTCATGCAATTTGCGTCCTAAATTTTATGAATGGGGCTGCCTGCACGGGGAATACCTATGATCCCTGTGAGGGCAAACACGGCCCTTGCAAGGGTATACGCTGCGGAACAACAATATTTGCAAGAAGCCTTAGAAATCTTGTTATAGTAACATTTATAAAACAGTTAATACTTAAACAGTTAAATAGCTTGCACTGCCTATTTGAAAAGTAATTCTCCAGCCTGGATGCAATCTAAACAGGCAAAATTGTAGGGAAAAAAAAAAAAAAAAAAAAAAAAAAAAAAAAAAAAAACTAGGCTTACTCACCCCACAGTAGGTATCGCCATAAAATATTTGTGGTGGTAAAGGATTGCCATGCTCAGGCCATTTGCATTTTGGGATAGTTTTGTACATCCATTGCCTTTTCTCTTCTGACATGGTAATATCCACTACTTCACAGTCAATATTGTGGGCTTCCAAATATTGCATGACTTCCTGCTGTTGCTTCTTCATCTGTTGGAGAGAACACAGGTTTAGTCAATATACCACAAGCCCACTGACCAGTTATAGTCTATTTTCAAACAGATGCTGTGTTGCAGAACAGATTGGCCCCCATTCCATGCGGTCACAATTATGCAACCCTTTTTTGTGTGTTTTGGAAGCGCACTCAATCATACACCCCTCAGCACTGTGACAGCACGGTCACTCCCACTCCTAGTTAAAGTGTAATAATGGGCCGCTGGTAGAACAGGCTCCTGATGATGCAATTCCTGTGACAGGTGATTACATGATCAGGAAGCCTATGATGACAAAATGTGCACTATTGTTTCTTGACCCAACTATGGGTACAAACAAAGCACACAAATGCAGTATCTCCATTCAGAAGTAGGATGTTCTTTTAGTGGTGGATTAAGGGAAAGGAAAGAAATACGGCTACATTGTAATTTTCTTTTTGCTATTTGGGACACTTTTCTTTAATGAAAAATAATAACAACAATAAATAATAACAATAATAAATGATATTCATTAAAGCCCACCTCTAAGCAAAAATGAAATTTAAGTAGGATACAGATTGACCTCTTCCTAACCCATTCCCATGGAGTATAAAAAGCAGTAACTTTCTTCTCATAAAATGTTATGTATGGTTGTTCTACAAACTTGGGGGTATATTTTGTAGAATGTACCAAGCAGTAAAACAGCAAGATTGACAAAATGTTAAACACCTATCAAAAACGACAGCATCACAGTACAGTTAGAATAGAAGTGGCGACAGAACTAAGACCATTGACAAATAATGTGAATGATCAGCAGAATCAGCACTGCATGTATGCCAACATCATAGCATGCAACCACTGAAATACATCAGTATAACAGTTAACACAGTTTAGGGGATAAACAAAAAAAACAAAACAAAACCACCACACACACTCACACGGAAACACTAAAGGGAAGTCTATGCTGCAAATCTGCACATTTCACAATAGCTTTATTACAAACTGTAGGCTGAAATTGCTTCCCCGTAGAGATACGATTTGATAATCTTTTGACAAGGAAGGTTCGTGTGTACAGTAATATACACAATGCACAGTCTTCCATTCAAAAACAGTGTTGTCTTCAAAACATTAGATGCAAACATAGAATTCACTCAAAACAAAAAAGCAAGTTAAATGTTTCCCATTATGTGCTACGCATACCAGAGATGAACTGAACCATGGTAAGTAATATTGCTTGTATAGTGTGGGGACATTGTACACAAGCATGGACACTAAACATTTACGTATGGTATGTTCTCCAATGTGGTTTCATATATTCCAGTAACCATTTGTGAAAAGCAGTAGCTGTTCAGACTGTGCAAAGCAATAACAGACTGAGAGGAGCCATTACTATTCGCATGGAATCGCACACCAGCAGTAACCTGCTGTTAGGGATGGATGTCAGAGCCTGGATGCATCTGTCTACATCCAGGGGTGCTCATCCTGCCCCTAATGAAAGGAAACGCCGAGTATGCACATACATGTGAACAAGGACAGCCGGTTATTGCTTTGGACAGGCTAAGCGACCCCTGTTCGTATACTCCCATCATTCTTGTGACGAGAATCAGATGATTCTTGACAGTGCTGTCCGGTGCAGGCATCTAACCACCCGTGTAAGGAAGGTGTTTCCATTTATAGTTCCTAATTATATATGCACAAGCATACTTGTTCAACTTTTGTGCAAGTATTTCAGGTTGTTCAGGCTGAAATGATACAATCAGCAAGCAGCCTCTAATGTCATTCCAGCTGTCACTAGGCCTGGGTTCACAAATGTGTGGGGCCAGTTTGTAAAAGAGTCCAGTGCAATTTCACTCAGCGGATCAGGTGCACTTCAGGTGAAGATTGTTAATGTGCATGACACTGGAAATCACACCTGAACAGGGCTGAAGATCATACGGGACTCTTTTAAATCGCACTGCGGCAGGCCTGCACATACATGATCAGGCTCCATTGAAAAGGATTTTGGTTCACATGTCATGCGAATTGAATGCGGTTCAAAATGCATCCAATTTGTATATATGTGAACCGAGCTTTAGTGAAAAAAGAAATCAAACACACATTGTGCCTTTATGAGGAACTACAAGTGAAAAATGTAGCAACTACAGTATACTGTGTGTATATACACACAATATATTGTAAAAAAAAAAAAATTATAAATATACTGTATAGATATATACATATATATCCAAAAACAACAAGTAACATACAGTATAACCATTGTCAATCCTAAAAAGTTTTTTTAAATTTTGCTTCACAGCCAAAAAAAACACATCTGTGCATTCCAACCCACCACCTATGGAAGGAAACTCATCATACCATGACCTCTATTTCTAGAAAGGTCAAAAATCACCAGCTGTGAAACGCAGGATGTCAGAATTTTTGCCTCAAATGGAAAGTAGGGACTCAGCTGACATTATTATTATTATTATTCAGAATTCATGTTAACATATGCTCAAGATGAAACTGCAACCTTCTCAGTGGGGGGGGGGGGGATTGCTATACATACTTAATTTAAAAAGATAAAATCCATAAGCTCACAATAAAAGAGTTCACAATAGCACTTCCAAATGCATATGGAAAATAGGTGTACAATGCACCTCAATGGTTAAAAGTGCTACCAGGAGACAGCCTCAGGAAAAACTAGACAGCGTGGTAAGGCAAGCCAGAGGTGACTCAAATTTCCTTACACCACAGTAGGAAATGTGTGTGTGTGTGGGGGGGGGGGGATGGTGTAGTTGGGGGGGGGGGGAGAAGAGGTCTCCTGCAGCGCTACTGTGTTCTGCTGGCAGGGGGCGAAGGGATCCTTCCTGGCTGGCAGAACACAATGAGTGCGGCTAGAGGTTATAGCCACCAGCAGTAATCAAATGTCAAAAAAAAAAAAAAAACCACACCCTGACAGGCTGGTTGTACCCAATTCAATTGACGGATCAACTTCAGTACAATCAGCTTGCCCATATGTGGATCGAATCTCAGCCAGACCTTGCTGAACCATTTCGATTCATGTGTGTCTGGCTTAAAACGTGATGAAGTCACCAAAAGGAGTTGTCCTATGTATGTTTTATCTGTAGAACTTAGGGGACTTGGTGAATAAACCCACTTGTAAATTAAATGCTATCATGAAAATGTTGAGAGGAAGCAAGACAATCTGTGAAAGTCCATTAAAAATGATGGGCCCTCAAGCCCCTTAGGGAGAGGGAGCCTTGACTGATGGAAGCATGGCTGGCTATACAGTGACCTAACATAGGGGGTTGAGTGGCTCCATCAGGATTGGCTACAAAGACGTAAGTTGAAGGGGTGCAGCCTGAACTCTAGAAAGAGTAAAAAAAAAAAAAAAAGAGCTGAGGAAATTCAGCCTTTAGAAGAGTTGCCTGCCTACCCACTCACTCTGTAGTAATTTAGTATTTAATCAGTGCAACCTCATCTTTTATATTTTACAAAAAATAGGGTAATTTATTGCTTTTTTTGTGCCCTAAAATTAACTATTTTTTACTGAAATTCTGCGGTAATATATGACATAAAAAATTGGAACTACCACTATTTTATTCTCTAAAGTCTCTGCTTTCAGAAAATATCATGTTTGGGGGTTTTGTGTAATCTTCAGGCCTATAATGATTTTTTTAAACTTCTGCAAAAAAAAATGCAAAAATAGCTCTGGCAGCGACAGGGATAAAGATTAAGCCCTGACCCACCCTTTCCTGATGAGCAACCAATCGTTGTTCATCACACTGCAAGGTCTCTCTCCTCCCTGCTAGTCCCCGAGTGCGGTGCTGGAGGAGGAGGAGATAAACAGAGCAATGAAAAAAATGTTTAAAATCGCCATAAAGCCCCTTTTGTTTTTAAGAGCCCCAGACATTCCTAATATCACCTCCAATTTAAATATAGTTTTGGTTAAAACATTATTTTTTTTTTTATCTGGACAAGTAGATTGTCATGAGGGACAAGTAAACTAGGGCACTGATTTAGTCCCTGGACAGGTAATTTTTTCACCAATTTCCACACCCCTGTTGAAGTGGTTAAAAGGAACACCTTCTGAAACACATTAAACACAATGGAGAGTATACTTCCCTGTTGTGTGTGATAAAGTGCCCACCCATTTTGTGAAGTGACATTTTCCCCATTATGAGGAAGAAGGAAGATAACAAAGGCTGTGTGGTTAGATAACTGCAAAAAAAAAAAAAAAAAAAAGTACTCAACAGTCACAGTGAAAAATATTCCTTGACGTTGACTAAATATGATCATGTGGACAATTGTGTACATTCAGCTTTGGCAGAGAAAATGTCTTCACTTCAGCTGAATGGCAGCTGCCATCTGGGTTCAGCCAAATCCAGGTCTGGACTGCACCAAACCTCATCGCGAATCAAAATAAATTTCAAAAAGTGCAGCGCTTACAATGTGAATAATAAGCTACAATTATATAAAATCAAAAACAACAACTCTATGATACAAATGATCAAATTCAGGTGCAGAAAAAAAAAGTAATTGGATATACAAGAAAATGTTTCTGCAATTTGACGATTATCACATTCAAGTGCAGCCTTTTCCACCACTTTTTCCACTCAATGTGAAATGTCCTTGGGTGCAATCATAAATGATCAAAATGTAAAAGTGACCAAACACAATCAAGTGCAATGCATGTCACCCCACACAGTGCTCAAGGGAGGCTTACTGGAAACATTTGATCATCATGTTATAGAGTGGTCAGATAAGGCATATAGGTGATCAAAAAGCAATCGCTCCAAGCTCCTCCACAGACTCAAGATTTGTACAAGAAAACATTTCCAGACGCCACATGGATCATAGACATCAAGAGTGTAGTTGGCATAATGATGGAATTTAAAAAAAAAAAAAAAAAAAAAAAAAAAAAAAAAAAGCTTCCCTTAGGTGTCAAATCTTTTACAACATTTTATTAAAATCAAAATATAGCAGTTACATGTAAGAAGATACAAAACAGTGCTGTAAAAATGGAAAAAAACCCACATGTGCCCACTTCCAA